AGTGATGCTGACCAGTGGGACCAGCCTGAGAAATGTGGAGGGCGAGGCAGGGGGGGCCCAGTGCTGGGGGGGGGGGGCGGTGGTGGGGGAGCCATGGACAGCCAGCATCCAGGGCTTGGCTCTCAGGAAGCAGCACTAAAATGCAGTGTCTGAGTCATCTGGTCTGATTCATCTTTGAAGCTCCCACGGGACTCACAGACACACAACGAAAGATTCTACTCTACGGTATCAGACGTGGGGTTCAAATCTGGCTCTACCACTCAGAAGCTGTGTGATTTAGGGGAAGTTTCTTAACCTCTATTGCCTCAATGAGACTAGAAACGGTGATGTTACAGGGTAGATACAAAGATTGAGTAAGAGTCAATGAGATAAAACACTTCTCACGTAAGTGTGTCATAAAGGCTTGCAAGGTGAATAATAGGAATCCAACAATTTGGAATTCTTTAAAAATCAGCTTTTCTTTGGTGGAATTCCTCTTCTCCAGTCTCCTACGAAGGAGGAGACATAGAAATAACAGGACTGGTATTGGAAACAAAACAAATCGCAAAAGAAAAAAGGAAGAAAACAGGGGCTTTGGAGTTTGGGTTTGGGTTTGAGTCTTTGCCAAGCCCCTTAAGAGGAGCTACGGGCCAGATTCTGGCCCTTGCGGGCGGGGCCTCAGTTACCTGAGCAGAGACATGGAGAGAAATGGAAGCTCAAATAAGATAATGCATGTAAAGAAAAGACTTACACACAGAAGGTGCTCATTACATATAAATTCTCCCACTCACCCCACCTCACCTAGGCTTTGAGAAACTGACAGCTTTCTCTGAGCGATTTATTCCCTGACCCTCTTAAATATTAACCCCCAAGTTTTTAAAGCTCCTATAGTTTAGAATTTAGATTAGAACAATTCACGGAACATTTAATATTTATTCTGAAAAGTTTCCATGGGGTAGGGACAAATACCTACTTAATCCTAACCACTTCCTTAGCTTTTCAGCTGTGACTAGTTGATATTTTAGTGCAATTTTTCTTTATACATATCAGTGACTTCTCCCTGGGGGCAGATTAGGATTTTGATGACAGAAAGAGCTACTTCCCATTTTCTTTTCCGCAGGGACAATGAGCTTGTTCTGTAAGGCCCCATGCGTTCTCCTTGCACTTTACACGGGGATTTTAGCAGGGCTGCTCTGAGGCGTCCTAGTCCTGGGATCGCAGCCTTGGGCTGGAGTTGACACAGCTGTGGGCAGAGGGCCACTTGGGGAGCCACTGGTGAGCGCAGCCCGAGCTCCAGGGAAGGTTGGTTCCCAGAGGGTCAGCCCTCGCCTGCAGGGTGCTGAGTCAGCTCCCACCAGAGAAAACCGCTTCATTTTCACCCTTTTGGAGACTGAGAGGCCACCTTTGTCATTTAAAGTACATTCTGATTAAGTCTCAGGGGAAGCAGGCCTCTCCAGGAGCCAGAGCAATTGATCTGGTTAGGGTGGTCTCTAAAGCCTTAAATTGGCAGAAGGGAATGGGGGTGTGGAGATAGGAAAGAGAGACAAGGAAGTTTATCACCTTTACCATTTTTTTCCCCAACTTACCTTACGTTATTTAGGTCACATTGGTTTATAACATTATGTAAATTTCAGGTTTACATCATTATATTTCGGCTTTTGTATAGATTGCATTGTGTTCACCACCAAAAGTCTAGTTTCCATCCATCACCATACAGATGTGGCCCTTTACCCCTTTCGCCCTCCCCCCACCCCCTTCCTCTCTGGTAACCACTAATCTGTTCTCCGTATCTCTGTGTTTGTTTTTTTTTTTTTTATCTTCCACATGTGAGTGAAATCATTCGGTATTTGTCTTTCTCGGTCTGACTTATTTTGCTCAGCATAATACCCTCAAAGTTCATCCACGAAACTCTATAGCAACCTTGGAAGGTTTTCGCCATTTCACAGATGGAGCAAAGGATGATCTGAGAGGTTGGGTACTTTGCCCAGGGTCGCATATCTGGCGCCCAGTTGCAGAAGGTTCGACTCTATGGCTCCCGTTCTCTTGGCTGCACCGTGGTCCTTACAGTTTGTATTGCTCGATCATTCATTCATTCACTCATTAAACTAACACTACAGAGAAAGCATCTGTAAACCCAGCACCAAATTGTTAAAAGTGGTTGTCTCTGGGAGGAAGGATTACAAGAGAACTTCGCTTTTTACCTTTCTGTATTGTTTGAATGTTAACAAGCATTGTTACTTTTACAGTTGACAAAAAAAATAAAGATAATCCCATTCAAAGAATTTCACCTTTTTTTTTCTCATGGAAATAAAAATCAAACAAAACCTTGCAAACATTTATTGGGCCCCCTATGTAGCAGGGTCCACTCTTCACTCGCTAGTGCTGGGTCCATGCTAGCACCAGCGGGTTCTTTGGCTCATAGAAGACCTCTCAGTTTGGGCTTTCAGGAGACAGGAAGGTAGCAGGCAGGGTCCAGCTGCGGAGTGAGACTCACTGGCTCTCTCATGACCCACGAACCCCAGAGCAGCAGACCACTAAGGACCCAGACTCTCCCTTCAGGCATGGGGCACATTTATTACCAACCTTTAGAGTGACACACTCAGAGCAAGGCCCCAGGGAAGGAATCCGAGGTGACTCCAGGTGCCCTGGGATGCAGGAGCACAGAGGAACATAACTGAGCAGACAGCTGTAGGCCAAAGTCCCCCCATCTTCCCTGCACATCAATAATGCAATAATGCCATCCATTTGCTGCAGAACTTACAACAAAGCGATTGCTCTTGTTCAGTTAATTAGCAAAGGGACAGATTAAGGACTTTAATCTCCTGCCTTCTCTTTTACCTGCAAGGCTTATTTACTCAGAAATACACAAAGAATATCACTATGTGTGTGTGTGTGTGTGTGTGTGTGTGTGTACATATATTGGGGAAAATATATATATACACAATATATATATATGCGTATGTGTATAGATACTTGGAGAAAAAAAAATATATATATTTTACTCCCCAAGTAAGCTTAAGAAGGCTACTGGCTGGCACACCTCTGTCAGCACCATATGACACTGATAAAATCAGAGTACCTTAGAGATTGCTCCATCGTTAGCAAGATGGGGAAACTGAGGCCTGGAGAGGGACGGTGATTTGCCATGGACAAATAGCCAGTGAGCCAGAGACCTGGACTGGAACCCAGGTTTCCTCCCTCCTGTCCAGGGTTCCTGTTTCTGTGCATGGTTTGAAACACAGGCAGCTAAAAGGTGTAGAGGAGCAGTGACACTGAACCACCAAAGGGACAACACCCCCCTCAGGAGCACAGAGGGAAAAGGCCCAGGAGGGTGGTTTGGGTTTTTGGTTCCAGAGAATGCAGGGCCTAAGATCCTGTCAGAAGACAACCAACGGGCCAAAAACCTCCTCTCTGATTTTCAAAGTAAGGCTGGGAGAGGTCCCAGCTAGGGAAGGGCAGGGGAGGGCAGGAAATAAACCTCCTTTCTTTGTCATGAGGGGGTGATGTCTGGAGGGCCTCAACTCACCTCAGATGACTTGTACCACGTGGCCTTCCACACCCTTCCAAGGTTAACGCCTACTTACTGGCCAGGTTCTCAGGGCTAAAGAGCTGGGGCAGCATCCCCATCTCCCTGCTTCAGGTTCTTTGTCCGTGTTTTCTTTCTGCCCAGAATGTCCTTGGTTATTAATGCCCTTGGTTACTCTGCCTGACACACCCTACCTATTCCTTCAGGTCCAGCAACAGCCTCCTCCAGGAAGCACTTCCCGATTCCCTCAGGCAGAGTGGAGGCTCCCCTCCTCAGTCACCCATGGGCTAGATTCCCCCCTTCCTTATCACCTGGGGCTATAATAATCTACTCCCAAGAGAAAAGGAGTCTGACTTTTTGAGCATTAGTAAGTGCCAGGCAGTGTGATGGGAGCTTTCACACCAGGTTCTCTAACTCCTCTGGAGGGAGTGGGGTGGTGATGGGGCGTGACTAACATTTACTAAACTCCTCTCTCTCCCAGGCACTGTGAGAGCCCTGGTCATGAGGGGGGTCCTGTATGGCTGACATTACTTTTGCTTGAGGAAACAAGCTTGGAGAGGCAATGTGACTTGTCCCACAAACTCCCACAGCCATAAAGCTTACATTTAATGCAAAGATGTCTGCAGAGCCCATGGATCCTGCCTTATATCTCTTTGAATCTCTGCCTCCTTCTCTAGAACCTGGCCTGCAATTTAGTGCCGTACAGGCTCTTATAAAACAAATGTTTGCAAAATCAACACACAACCTGCAGTGTTATTTCTGGGGGAAGTCTCATTTCCTCTCCTCTTCTTCGAGAGTCAGGAAATCCTGGGGTCATTAGGGAGGTTCCAGGTTACCTCAAGTATATCAAGCCCCCCTTTGGGAAGCTTGAATCCCCTCCATAGCATCCTTGCAAAGAAGTGGACCGGCTTCTGCTGGACACAGAGAGGGCAAGCACTTTGGCCCATGTTACACAGCACCTGATCAGGGGCTAAAACCTGGATCTGCTGGCTCCTGGTCAGCCTGAGGCTCTTCCACCATACCCCCAACACCTCTTCTCCTTAAGAGAGTCAGGGCAGAGAGTAGAAGAAAAGTGCTGATTATGGGCAGATCCAGGCTTAGGCCCAGTGGCTCTGCAGCCAGCATTCAGCCTGCAGCTGCCTGGGACTTCAAGGCCCTCTGTCTCAGGGCAGTGTGAAAGCTGAGAACTTGCAAAGCCAGAACTAGGCTCCAGGTAGTATTCTTTCTCTCAGTTTTCTCATGGTTCGTGAGGACACAATAATATGGGTCACTGAAGCAGGGTTGTGAGGAGGATCCAATAAAGCAAGTGGCAGTGGCTGGCACAGTCCCTGGCACACAGTAGGTAGCCAACAGGTGCAGTTTTTGTTTTAACCTCTTTTCTTTTTCCGTGTTGATCTTTGTCTCTGTATCTTTGCCCGTCTGCGCCTCTACTGATGCTTCTGTCTCGTTGTGTCTGTCTGTGCAGCTCTGTCTGTGCAGCTCTGTCTGTCTGCTGTCACGGCGGTGGGGACAGCAGCTCCCCAACCCCCGCACACCCCAGTGGCGCGGCCGGGCAGGAGCAGGGCTGCTGGAGCTGCGGAGCTGCGTCAGGTCCCCCACAACCCCCAGCCCCCCATGCACCAGGCCCCTCCGCCCCTGCAAGTGGCCCAAGCAAGCAGATTAATCATCATTGCCAACGAAAGAAAAAAAAAAACCCACAAAAGTTAGGAAGAGAGAGCGACTTACCGTTCGCAGCGACCCCCAGGCTGACGGAGCCACTTTTAGCTAAGAATGAATTAGGGACAAACTCTTCCTCAGAGTCTGAGTCCGGGGTTGGCTGGGCCACACCGTTGCCTAGCAACCGCCTCTGGTTCTCATTGGGCGGAGGGGAGGGGGGCGGGGAGGGGGACTGCTCAATAGGGGTTGATGAAGCGGATGAACAATGCAAGGGAGCACCTGCGAACCACAAAGACAAACACAGACAGAAAAAAAATAATGAAAATTGGTTTTGAGGCACACGGGGAGGGGGAGGGAGCAAAATAAAACACGCATCAACGGCGGGAGGGGGGCTTTCAACACCCGGCGATCTACTGCACACGTGGCCCAGGACGGGGATGATGTCTCCGCAAAAAAAGTTGGTGCAAACTCCTCCTGAAGAGCGGGGGCCTTGGCCTCCGTGCAGAAGTCTGTACGCCTTCCAAAGAGGGCACCTCCAAACAAACGAGAAGCCCTTCTTCCTTTGCCTGTTCTCTGCGAGAGGCCTGAAAACCTGGGATCTAGTTCTGACCCTGTTGTGTTACCTGTGATATGGCTGCCCCCCCCTCTGAGCCTCAGTGGCCTCACCAGTAAAAGAGGCAGCCGCCTTGGGTGATCGCTGAGCCCCTTCAAGCTGGCTATTCTGTGATGTCACGGAAGTGAAATGATGTTCTTATTAGTGAGATTTTAATCCGACATGCCTGGAACAGGCTCTGGGCCTTATAAAAGGTAGAGAGCTGGAGAGAATGATCCAGGGCCCCCCTCCACCGCTGGCATTCTAGGGTTTCAACACACTATTGTTTTACTTTTCCAAGAATCTAACATTTAAAGCTCTTAAATCCTGGCATTCTCTGCAAACTCCTTGAGAGCAAGAACTTGAGCAGTCTTTTTCACTTCTGTATCCTCCGAACCTAGCATAGTGCCTGGCACATAGTGGGCACTAAATAAATATTTGCTGAATAGATGAATTCCAGGGGTTTAACATACTAAGATCCTTAAGGTCTAATAGTATCAGATCAAAAAATCCTATAATTTTAGGACACTAACACTATGAATTCCAAGACGCACTCATACACAGTATGCTTGACTCCAAGTTTCTAACATGTCACAGCTCTCCGATTCTAAAATCCCAGCTTGCTATAGATCTGTGAGCACACTCCCAGCTCTTCAGAAGGAGAAGGTGATGGCCTGGGACGAGACATTTGAGATCAATTTGCAGCCCTATCTGTGGCAGGCCTTTAGACATGTGCAGTACATCGTCTACAAGAGAGGGGACATAAGCACAGACATATAACAGTATACAATACAGGCAATGCGTCCACTCGACAGCAACGGCTGTTTCTTTTCTCCCAGGTTGACTGATAGAAGGTTTAAAACATAATCAGATCCATCTAGCTTTTCAAAGAGACTGAACTTTAGAAAACATAGGGCAGCCCGGAGATGCCATCAGAAGATACGGGAGGGTTCTAAGGAGGCGGTGGCACAGAGAGATGCTGATTATTGGGAAAAACACCAGCTTTTTGTGGTCTATCTACCAAAAGAAGCTCACTCAGTTCACAGTCACCAAATCCTGCAGGATTTTGCAGGTTCCGTGACTTTATGTCAACCCCTGAGCCTAAGCATATGTGACAGCACTTTATAGAGCTGCTGTGTACGCCATTTGGCTGGTTCATACTAGAAATTCAGTAAGAGCAATTGAGGCGGCAGGAATCAATGACCAAAGTACCATCTAGGGTGGCTTCTCCATCTGTATATCGGTTTACCTAAAAACCCGGGCTATGATTCACCTTAAAATCATCCAAACCAGTGTTTCTGAGGAGCTTCCCTGACACCATTTACCAGGCAGCACTATAGGGTGATCATGCCTTTCTCTGAACTAATCTCGTCTTTAGCTCTGCTGTCACCTTTGCTCTGCTATGTTTGCAGTTATCTGTACCTGTCTCCCACATAAAAGTATATGGCACATTCTTGGGGTACAGTGCATTCTTGGATCAGGCTTTGGAGTTCAACAGAATTGGGGTTTGCATCACCACCTAGCCTCTTATTAGCTGTCTGATCTTGGGAAAATGAGTTCCAGTTCCTCATTTGTAAGTTGGGCACCCTTCCCCTTTTACATAATTGTTGCGAGGACTGAAGAGACTATATCTGAGCACATAGTATGCATGAGCAAGTAGGAACCCAGGGGCAGTGCTCACCAAATGTTTATTAAATTGAATGAAATCACCCCACGAAGAACCCCATTCATGATTCCCCTTCCCCTGCGGGTCCCAGTTTTGGAAAGATTTTGTCGACCAGGCTGTATTTATTAAGCAAATATATGTTCATTTCCTCATCTTTTATTAACCAAAGACATCTTATAATCTCTAATCAGAGCTTCTGATGGGCTCGAGATAACCAGTACCACACCATGCTGAGTTGTTAGAATTTCAAACAAAAGTTAAGAAACACGATATGTTGTTCCAGGGTGCTTGTTACAGCCTCTTCCTGAGTAAATCTGTCAAGCTTTATGAAATAAATAGTTCCAGAACTAAGTAAATTGTTCCATCACAAACTTCAGAGACCCTAGGCTGAGAACAGCACGGTGCCTTCCCAGGTTTCACGCCTGTTTCTTCTCCTTCCATTTGATCTCCAGGCTTTTCCTCAGACCTGCAGGCTTGCTCTGAATATTCATAACCTAATATTCAAAGCACTTAAGAAGGTGCCAGACCCTTAGTAGGTGCACAATAACTCATGAGGTTTCTGTGATGTACAGATATTATTGGAAACATGTTAATTCCCTTCCTCTTAGTCATAAGCAGCTTTTAATTTCAGTGGTCCCAAGGAAGGATGCAAAGAACCATCCCCTGGAGTGCAAGAAAATATTTATTTATCTTACCCTTTTTGAATTTCTATTTTATATATATTTTATAATGTATATAAGACATTAGTGCTTGAAATACATGTAGTGAAATGCATTGCTGTACCAGTTCAACATCTACAGAAGCAGGGTAGGGTTGTATCAAGAATATGGGCTCTGGAGTTGGACCACCTACATTTAAATTCTAGTTCCACTACTTGCTAGCAAGTTACTTCACCCTTTTTCTCATCTTGCCTCAGTTTTCTCATCTATATAGTGGAGACAAAAAATTAAAAAAGAATACCTACTTCACAGGGTTGCTCTGAGGATTAAAGGAGTTAAAACGAGTAACACGTTGAGAACAGTGTGCCAGCCAGTAAACACCTAAACCCATTAGATGTTGCTATGCATAAATCTGTGTGTATAAAGTGAGGGGTGCGAACTTTATCTGTTTTATAAGAGCAGCGCATGATTGCAAAAGTGTGGCGAACACTGTTTCATTCCACAAACATTTTCTAAACACCCACTGGTTAGGCTAGAAGGTGAGAGGGGTACAAACTGTGAGAGACAAAGCCCCAAAGGAGCTGGTGGGGTGGGGCTCTAAGCAAGGCAGAGGTAGCACCTGTCAGAATAGAAGATGGTCCAGTGCAATGGGAGGGTGGGGGGCGGGGGCTCATTTCAACAGGAGGAACTGAGAAAGGCTTCCTGGAGCCACAGAGGATTCCAGTGGGAAGAGAGGAAGAGAGGAAGAGAGAGGTGTGTGAGCATCCACAGCAGAGGGAGGAATACTCCAGCCTAAGGTCCTCAGCCTTCACCTCATCTCAAGCAATCTGCCTACCCTCCTTTACCTCTCAAGTCTCATGTGTTACCATTAACTTCGCACCATGTCGGCTGAGACTGGCTGAGACTTGCTGAGACGTGCTCGCCTGCTCATGTTTCCACAAACTCACTGCTCTCTCTTTTGCCCAAGTTTGCTGAGTTGCACAATTTCAGGGTACCATTTGCACTGAATTTATCTGAGTGGCCCCCTCTGGAGCACAGCTATAAAATTTTGCCTCTGAGCCTTTGCACATGCTGTTCCTTCTCCCTGAGCATTTCCTTTTGTTTTTTTCTCCCTCATCACTACCACCCCGTGTGTCTCATTAGCTCTTACTCAGCCTTAGGGCTTACCCTCATGATCACCTCCCCCAGGAAGGCTTCCCTGATGCCTCAAGCCTGGGTTTGGCATCCCTTGTGGGTGCTCCCACGGCTCTCGTACTTTCCTTGTTGCAACACTCCACACTGCAGTGTTTACTTGTCTGTGTCTGCCCGCTAGCCTGCCTGGCTTATCCATTACAGGATTTCCCAGTGCCTAGCACAGGGTCTGGCACATAGAAAGCAGATAAATATTTATCTGGTAAATATTTGCTAAATGAAGAAAGGAGGGAAGGAAGGTAGGAGGGAAGGAGAATACCTTGATTATGGCACAAAAGGTCTATGTAAAGAGAGCGGTCAGACAGGAATCTCTGAACAGTAGGTTTAAGCCTTGAACACTAGGAAATGGAAATCAGACCTTAACTGGGGAGTCATGGAAGTTTTTAAAGCAGGAAGGTGATAAGATCTGGGCTGTGCTTTAGAAGGATCTGCTCTCTAAACTTAAGGCATCTGCTTAGCCACCCAGATCTCCTTTCTAATTGGCTCAGCTCAGCCAGGATGATGAAAGTCCACACGACCTGGGCTCGCCTGTTGGATGGGGCCTAGGTGCATGTTCATGTAGGAAATAAGGACGCCTGATGCCATGAGACTATGGAATTGGGGTTTAGGCTGACTTCCCATGTATCCTGATTATCAGCTGAAGAGAACCTGGTATTGTAGAATTTTCCACTGTGTCCATGATAAAATGAGATGGCATGATTGGAATGAACCTCCCTATACCTCACCTCAACAACCAAGGGGGCCAGTAAAAGGTGGAGGGGAGCCACCCAAATTTCTTGAGAAGAAGTCTCTGTGAGCCTAGCTCTAGCTTATAGTAGACAGGGATGGAGGAGGAAAGCAACAAAGTGAGAGAGTGTAGACACCCATATGCTTGGGGTCGGGGTCCGATGCGGAAGGAACAAACATTTGCAGAGCTCCTCCTGGAGGCCAGGAACTGGGCCACGTGTTTTGTAAGATCTTTCCTCACAATAACCCTATTTGTAGGAAAATTCATCCCCATTTTCAAGGTCAAGAAATAGAGGCTTATCGAAGTGAAGTAATTTGTCTGTGGTCACAGAACCTGGGTGAGAATCCAAAAACACAATGCTGTTTCCACTGAGTGGTGTGAATTAGATTTATCAACCCTGGTGTGGAGTAGGGAAAGGGAGATTCCTGTCCATTAACTGAAACA